GGGGGGGGGGGGGGGGGGGGCGGGCAGGATGTTCGGAGGTGGCGAAATTTGCCGCCAATAGAAATTACCAGAAAATATCTAAAATTCTTAAAATTACACTTTTTGAGAGTGGGATTCTTTTACTTTTTTGCCCTAGCCCAAATGGTCCCCTTGTTCAGTGCGAGTTGTACTTAGTAACTTCTAAATCGAGTTAAAATCGACGATTCTAAGATCGAGAGAGGTCACTCCTTGCCCTACCCGTTTGAATAATTATAATTTGCTTTCATTAGGAAAAGCCATTTTTGTCCGAAACATTTGTCCATGTCCAATGAGGTAATGACATGTGGACTGAATCTCCATCAAATTTTCGCTTTCCTAACTGTACAATCTTGCATCCATAGAGAGAGGCGTTTCGTAGGGTCCAACCAGCAATTTGATTTTTATGTTGCGAATGCGAAGAGGAGAGTTCTGCCGTGCTAAGGAAGAACGCCGTATGAACATTCGGGAGTTGCCAAATTGCGCTTGATAAAATCTGTATTTTTGACTCAATTTACCTATGCATATTTTTCCTTGAAATTTTCAGATATGTTAGATGAAATTGTGTGAAAAATGGTCTGAAAATTTGAGAAAATAATATTCTTAATTTTCCCAGCAATTTCGGTTTTTGTTGGGGGAAACTTGGCAACGTCTGAAGGCTCATACGGCGTTCTTCCTTAGCACGGCAGAGTTGGAAATTGGCGGGAACCGAAGCTAGGGAAAACCCACTCCGCTCACGATCAGCTCACGCAAGTGCCCACCCAGAGACCGGATGCCAAGTTACGCACACCGAAAAATCTTTCTAGGAATTCTTTCAGGCTCCGAGGATTTCAGCCGGTAGATCCAGACACTCAGCCCCTCACCCTTTATCGGCGAATCTTTCGTTCGTCGTTTACCGATAACACTTTGTTTTTTCGTAGCTCAACCGCCTTCCAGTCTCCACCGAGTCAGATAAGAAGCATTGAACACCTCTCACTCACTCCCCCCCCCCCCCCCCCCCCCCNAGCCAAGTTCGTGTAACTATGGTGTCGTTGCCTCGACCGGACTGTGCTGTGTTGCCAATTGTTGGAGGATAGGTTACTTGCCCGGTGGTGGCTACCGCCACTCATGATCTAGGAATGATACTGTTCGGATTTTCAACACTTTAAAATGTTAGTCCCCCCCCCCTCTCTTTCCCGTAGAAACTGAATAACGCTCGCACATCTTTCTTCTCTCCCTTATCCACCCTCTTTTCGCATTAAATTATTTAACGAACTTCTCCTTACAGGTAGA